AAGCAAAACCTTGAACCTAAAAACTATGGTGATGCTTTAGTAGAACTCGACCATTCATAGAAACCATGTGTGCGCCTGAGTGTTTTTTGTTAGTTAAGGTGCGGTTCCGTATCTTAGAAGCATACGGTACCATTTCATTTAATTTATTTTATTATCCATTAGTTACTGAAAGTAACGTACAGGGCTCGTCATTCCAAGAAATGTAAACAAAAGCAAAAATTACATTGACAAGGATAAAACTAACAATATTTACTTTACATTACATTCAAAAAGTACCATGACTTAAAATAAGGAAGGTAGGCTTTGGACTGACCTCCAAACTAACAAAAACTTACCTATATAAAAGGGTCACCGATTTTGAGATATTGAATTTTTTCTTAAATTTTGAAAAAACGAATCTTTTCATCTGTGGTCTTTAGCTGCATGTACCAATAAGGTCATACTTTGTTAATTTTTTCTATAAAATACGACAGTTGCTTTATCATGTACAAATGCAATGTATTTAAACGATATTAAGGAACCATGATCAAATAAGGTCTATTTTGGGATTTATAACCTTCTGATATTTTTTCCTCAACTTTGACCATCTGTGGTGAAACAAAAATGTACTGGGCTATGAAAAAAGTGATAGCTGCTTTTGTAAGCGACTGACACATTTGAATTCAAATACAAAGCTACATTATTATTATCTGCTCCTGATACGATTTTATGAAAGTTGAGGAAACAATGTCAGAAGGTTATAAATCCCAAAACAGTCCTTATTTTATCATGGTTCCTTACTATCTTTTAACTACATTGCATTTGTATATGATAAAGCAACCATCTAGAAGTATTTTATAGAAAAAATGAACAAAGTATAACCTTATTTGTACATGCAGACCACAGATGAAAAGGTTAGCTTTTTAAAATTTAAGAAAAAATTCAAGAAGCGGTGACACTTTTATATAGGTAAGTTTTGGTTATTTGGGAGGTCGGTCCAAAGTCTACCTTCTCCTTAAGTTTGTCGTGGTACTTATTGGACACCTTGTATAATCATCGACAGAATTCAGAGCTTTATCAAAAAATAGCCTTTAGAGTTCATCTTAATGTCCTTTTAAGGTCATCCAGTAATTTATTAAAGATTCTTGGATCCAGGATTTTAGGAGACTTGCAGCCAACTTTGTATTCCATGAAGGGTGCATATATTGCTGAATTGCTATCGTGTATTGATACCATATACGACCCTATTGGACCCTCTTTTGGCTCAAAAATATTTTTTGAGCATTAGATGACGAGTCCCAAAGGTATAACGCATAGCGCAGACGAGACTCAGTGTATGCATAATACATCAATATCTGGTTTTCATTGGGACTGACCTGATGTTGTTGAATATAAGTCTCAGCGAATTCAGCTTGCTGCTTAGATCAAATCAAATCAATTTTTTTATTATTCTAAGAGACATTACAATGTATGTATCGGATTCGCCAGAATAAAAACTAATAAAACAACACAAAATAAATATATGTATACAAACAAACACACAAATAAATCATAAAATAACAAACTCAGAGACGGCATAATAACATTTACTTACAAGAAATTCTGTCAGTTTAGCTTTAAAATTATGTATCTCCTCACAGTTTAATATGGTATGGTAGCTTATTAAAATTCGTGGACCCAGTATTTCCGGAGATCTGACGCCGATCTGATACTTGGCAAAATACACATTAAAGTCTCCAGCTTGCCTGGTCGAGTACGAGTCAAAATTATTTAAAAACCTATTTTTGTGAAAGTATACACAGCCATTTTGTATAAAAAAAGATGATGAAGTTAAAAATCTTAAAGCGCTTAAAAGTATCCTTACAAGAATGCCTACTACTGACTCCTAACATGCATCTAACAACTTTTTTCTAAGGCAAAAATACTTGCTGGGTATTTGTGGACAATCCGCAGAAACATAGTGCATACCTCAGTCGTGTCTCGGCTTGAGCGTCGTAAACAGAAACTATATGTGCCATTCGCAAATTTTTCGTAAGATATGATTGGGAGGTTATCTTTGATACAATATATACACAGAGGTCTTTAAAATTCAACCTGTATCTAGATACAAGCCCAAGAATTTAATTTGCATGTCAAGGGACATTCTTGAGCTATTAAAAGTGATATTTAATGCCATAGTGTTGTAAAATTTTGTAGTAGAACTCCACAATCTCTCTCTCTAAGGTAGTCTCACACTTATTCGATATCACTGCTGAAGTATCATATTCATATAAAATGAATCTACCTTCAGAGGAAGAGAACTCAAGGTCATTTACTATCAAATTGAGACCTATTCCCTAGAAAGACCCTATCCAATGATATGGTGGACCTTTTTTGCCATAACTTGACATTTTCTGCAACCGCACTTCCTGATTGACGCAGTCAAATGCCCTGCAGATCGCAACAGGGCACTCGCTCGCCTCAATCATTTTAACAAGAGTACCTTAGAAGCCGTAAATTGCTATTGTGGTAGATTTTCTATTTCAAAAACCGTGTTGATTCTCTATCAAAATATTCTTATTTACTAAGAAGAGAAACAATCTGTCAGATAACAGTACTTGACTACTTTTGAAGAAGTTGATGGTATCGTTTCTGGTTTGTAATAACTCAACTCAGAGGGATCCCATCCCCTTTTTGTATACTGGAATCAACTTTCCGGTTTTTAGCAGACAAGGAAATTTCCATGTGCAGAATCATATAATATGTATTGATCATGAAGACCAGTGGCTTTAGAATATAATTCAGTAATTTTTTACGATAAAATTTGGCTTAGCTTAGCTTTCCACTAAGTCAAGTCAATAATTCATCATCAGTAAATGGATACAGCAACATCAAATGCCGTGCATCTTCCCTACTCGAACTGAAGGTATGATCATGGATGGGATTGGAATATTTTTGACAATGTTTAAAAATCTGATGGAATTCATCTGCAAGGATTTTTTGATTAGAATAAGTGGTCGTACTCATATTACTGTTTTTTTTATTAGCTCCGGTCAGTTCAGATACAGTCTTCCAGAAAGCTTAGTTCTGTTGCCGGAATTAAATATTTTTTCTGATAATACTTACGTTTTGTCTGTTCTATTGAATTCTGTGTTGTCTCGTTTTCAATATTCTGGAACTACTGTTGCTAAATAATGAAATTCCTTTTAAACTGTGACTAGAATGCACGTTTCTTTACTTACCCACGATTTTCTTATGGTTGAAATCGTATAAATTCGGCATGGTGTTGAATATCTCAAAAATATCCAAACGCAGGGCTAACATCGTTCATGTTAGTACAGACCAATCTTCAACACATAGATCTGAAATAAATTTGTTTATTGAGTCTTCATCATAGCACCTTTGCCCGATATTAATGGGTTTGTTTTCTGTTGAGATTTTTTCATAGAATGCTAAGAAGACTGTCCTGTGATCTGAAATATTATTCTATAAGGCGCAGGAAGTATCACTGTCTTTAAGATTTGTAAATATCTGGTCAATAGTGGTGACTGAACTACGTCCCATTCTTGTCGGCCATCCCACTGATGGACAAATTGAATTCACTGAGGACACGATTCAGGTTTGCACATTTAGTACCTTGATTGTAATATAGCAATCTCCTACCCATCATATCCCACAAGTGCTCAATTGGGGATAAGTCGGGAGATCTTGGTGGCCATGGTAACAATGTGACATCATTATGTTGAAAGAAGTCTATTGTGACTCTTGCAACATGTGGTCGGGCATTATCTTGTGGAAAGTTGGATCTGCCCAGGGTGTCAAGATAGGGTAAAAGATGGGGTCTAGAACTTCGTGGATATAACGCTGCGCGTTCATGTTACCTCTGATGAAGATTAAAGGTGACCTGGAACCATAAGCTATAGCACCCCAAACCATACCTCCAACAGTGTGATGAACATGTCTTTCAACAAAAAAACTGTGGATTCGTCCGTTAACCACGTCGCCTTCTAACACTTACACCGACGTAATCGCTTGAGTGGTGCAAACAACGGTCACTCTGGATCAGGAATGGAACAGCATTGTCTTTAGTGACGAGTCTCGATTTTGTTTAGGCATGCACGGTGGTCGTGCCAGGGTTAGAAGGCGACGTGGTGAAAGGAGGAATCCACAGTTTTTTGTTGAAAGACATGTTCATCACACTGTTGGAGTTATATTTTGGGGTGCTATAGCTTATGGTTTCAGGTCACCTTTAATCTTCATCAGAGGTAACATGAACGCGCAGCGTTATATCCACGAAGTTCTAGAACCCCATCTTTTACCCTATCTTGACACCCTGGCAGATCCAACTTTCCAACAAGATAATGCCCGACCACATGTTGCAAGAGTCACAATCGACTTCTTTCAACATAATGATGTCACATTGTTACCATGGCCACCAAGATCTCCCGACTTATCCCCAATTGAGCACGTGTGGGATATGATGGGTAGGAGATTGCTCAATTTGCAACGTCCTCCTCAGACTCTAGAAGCACTTCGAG